TTTGAATAAAGGGCAATAAAAATTTGACACGATGTCAGTTTATGTAACAAGCTGCTAAAATATGTGATAAAGTGTAAAGCAACCACAAAGAGACAGGGAAGAACCCTTCTGTTAAAACAAGTATACTGAGAAGCAAAAAATATGGGAGTTGTGGGTGTTGATATTCTGAATCATTCAACTTTTCTCTTGGGACCAGTTCTCCAAAAAAAGTTAAGAATTCTCTTTCCTCCCCTTCACACAGTTGTTGGCCTCCACTCCAGTGACTTCTGGGAAGACTTGATAAAGACTAATCTGAGCCTAAGAGACTTACTAGCTGATGTACTTATTTTCATGCATGAATGTGAACAGATGTTTACATGGTAGTGTTAAGTAGGCCAGCTGTTTGAGTCATCTATGTATTTTATTTAAGAGTGAAACCTAGCACTCAAAATCTGGAGACAGAATGTAGAAGAGCAAAGAAACGCAAATTCAGACAAATACTTTTCTTCCTGTATTTTGGGGGTGGTATCCTCTACATGCACTAGTCGTTCCACTAGTTTTCTGTATGTCTGAATTTTCAGCATCATGAAGTTGCATCTTACTCGAATCTCTGGGCATCTTCACTTTATCTTCATCAGCTGTAGGTGAGAGAAAAACTAAGAAGCACAATGTCAACATCACCAAATGCAGCATTTGTCTGAGGATGAAGGAGGAGGAAAAAAGAAACAATATTGAGGAAAGAAAAATAGTTGACACTTCGCTTTACAAGAGGCTGCATATTGCTGATTGTTCCTGCAGTCTGTTCTATAATGAAGCAACATGGTAGTGTTTGCCTTTGCATTTGTTGTGCTCTTCAAATGCAAGCAAAAAGCATAATCTTTAAGAGTGTATTACAGTCATGAATGCATAACACATATTTCTTGATTTCTAACTGCAAATCTGAACGGAAAAGTTTCCTTTGTGGAGATGTACACATGCATGCAGGCATATGTCTAGAAGGAAGAGTTTAGAAGGAGGAGGGGCTTCTGTATATTTTTAGAGGTGGTTTGTCCCTCTAGGATTGTGTTTGCGCTGGGACTGGCACTAAAATATGATGAGGGTTCTCACTCCCTGCCGTCACTAATGGGTAGTGCAACCCTCGGTCAGTCTCTGCCACTAATGTGCTCCTCTGCCTGAATACGAGTAGAGTGATTTGATCATGTGCATGTTAAGAAAAACAAGATTTGTGGCCCCTTGTGGTTATGCAGGTTTCAGTATTCCACAAATTCTCCCTGTCCAAACCCGTACTGCAGTGCACTCAGCTGCCACTGAGTTCTTCCTTCTGCTCCAGAAGCAGAACATTGTTTCTTGAGCTCAATAATTACCTGTTAGTGACAGTAAAGCTATGGAGCCTAGCTGGACAGTTCATATTCTGTTCAGTATGGTCCATGTGTGAATGTATGTACACCCACATATATATATTCTTCTGGTTGCTACAGTTGTTAGAGAGGTACATAGGAATCTGAGACCACTTAAAGAGCAAAAATTAAAAAGAAGATATATTTGAAAGATGTAAACTCATTGTTAACAGGATGGAGAAAAAATAACTGCAAATTGATTAAGCTGCTTCACAGAGAAGACAGATTGTTGTCATCTTGACCTTAAAGTCAGTCAGGATATATCAATAGGAGCATCTTTTCAGTACA